TTTATATATTAAATATTAATTTGGATTCTTAATTATTATAATTTAATTGAAATATAAAACTAGAAAACAAACACAGATATCAATATAAATTTTAAGAAGTCTAAACAACAGCTAAAAAAAGAGAATAGGCTTTTGATATCTGTGGGGTCAGGAAAATCCCATCCAGGCCACAAGCATCAGAACTCATTGTGTCCCAGTCCTTCTTCGATACACTCAGAAACCCCTCAGTAAAATGGATTGCTCCCTTTCTGTCTAAAAAAAGGGGGGGAGTTGTTCATATTTTACGCATAACTTTTAGGAAAAAGTTTTTGGGATTAACTAATGATTAATATCATCAATGCACATGTAAGTGACTTTTACTGATGGATAAGTGTAAGACAAGAAACATCTGTGGAGTAGAGAAATAGCTATTGTAAATTTATATGATCAGGGCTTGTGTCCCTTTACCTTTGCAAATCTCAAAGCAATCACAGAGGACCCACATATTTGGCACAGACTTATGATTGTTCTGCAGAACTAAAGAGCATCAAGAGAATACACACATGTGCTCCCCTCTGAGGCTGAATGACACACATGAGGAAACTGTCCTATGGCACTGATAGCTTTAAATTAAAACATGTAGATGGATAAATACCCAGAAAGAACTAACTTCCAGAAAAGTAAGGTAGAGATGGTACTTTATAACATACACAGGACTGAAATGATGTTGATATATATTTTATTATGTAATTTTTTTAATTTCTGCAGAGAAAATTTACAACAATGTATATGGAAGAATATATTTATTGCATGCATTATTGAACACATAAATCAAAATATTCATGAAATTATTTACCTTGATACTTTATAATTCTACCTGTAGGTGCACAATTTCATCAACCTTAAAACACAGGGTTTCAAATATATGAGTATGAAACAATTGTACAATAAACAACAATTTGAAACATTTTCCATATCCTAGAACTAGATAATTAGTGATAATATAAGAGGCAAACTTACCATTCTTAGTAATGCTGGACCTTGTTGCCCACCCCTAATGCCCTAAGAAACATCTAAATAAGCTGCTTCTTACAGATATAACAATGTTTTCTTTCACAGGCTTCATGCAGAACACCGAGGCTGCTATACAATAGGCAGTTCCGTGTATTTGTGAATGGAAGGTACAAAAATCTGTAATAAAAAATAAAATATCAACATAAGATAAAAGGAAAAGGGAATGTTTAGGAATAGTATTTTTATTAAATGATGGAACTTTTTAAAGCATTTGAATGAGATATGAACATCCATTGCATCTTTTTCATTCAATAACCACAGTTTTCACAAAATTGCAATATTACAATATTGATTTATTTCCTCAATAATCAATAGAATTTAGGTCACAGACTTTTTTGTTCTTGCCATTGTAATTAATGGTTTTGATATATAATAAACTTTGCCTGTATTATGTTAAAAATGTATTGACTAATTTATTCTAGGAAAAGAAATCAGAGCATAAAATATGTCATTGTATGATGCTATAAATAACATGCTTATAACTGAACATGAGATTCTAAGATTACAAATATACAGAAGCCCAGCATATTTGAAACATAAAGGGTGCTGAGAATATTGGGATCCCCCAGAATAAAGAAAATAATGGCGATCCTGTTTTCCCGGGCAGCTCCTCTGCGTGAGCATCGGTACATGCACAGCTCATCCAAGTGTGTGTACCAAGGAAGAAAGAAAAAGTCAAAAGCTCTTTTATGCTCACAAGTACACCAACTTCATGTCACTTGAGCATAAACTTCGATGTTCTAGGTGGGGCTAAAATTGTTACCATCTTGTATCTATTCTCTTTTCTGTATTCCTAGGCTCCAGGGAGGTTATTTTAGCTACAGAATCCCTGGACGTTACATTCTTTGGTCAGGCCTAAGGATAAACTCATAAAAAGACCTTGAGTGGGAGAAACTTACAGATCTGGGGAGAGAGCAGAGCCATCCTCCCACAACCAGGCACCACTTTCTTCACTGTAAGACAGTCCAGTCCAGTAAAAAGCTGCAGAGGAGATCATGAAATTCTGATGGGAAACAGAGACAAACATATTAACTTAATTTGATTTTTCTCTGGGAATAATGTACTTTCCAGAAAGTCAGTGCCCAGCATCAGATCCAGACTTCAAGTCACTTGACCTGAAATCCTATCTTATGTCTAGTTTAGGAGGTGTAGTCACATGTCTCATATTTACTGACTGTAAGGCCCATTCATTTATGGAGATAAAATATCACAAAATCTCATTCTTGAAGGAATGAAAAATATTATAAAGGGTTAAATTTTCCTAGAACACTTTCTTCACAGATATCGACAATCTAATTTCAACACATATCAATGGTATCTTGTCAGATAAAATTCTTGATAGGCCTACTCAACCTATAGTCAACATAGGTACCACATGCAGCTGGGGAGTTTTTTACTTTTTCTTAAGTATTGGGTATTATTGTGATCATGCTCTTCATGTTCACTGCACATTACATGCAAGAATGATGATGAAAGATATATAATTACCAATGAAATTATGAATTCAATTAAAGGTCTTAATATTTAAAAGTTTGGTTGGTTATATGAAAATGATGACCTATTATTTCTTTCTTGATTTCTCTAAAATATGTCTTGAACCTTATCTGGCATCTATCTTGATTTTTATACATAATATAAATATTTGAGAAATTTTATATAGGTTTTATACTGAGTGTTTTAAGGAATAAGAAATTAGAAAATTATTATTAGTTCATATATTACCATCCAATTATGATCTGATTAGAAATTTCAAAGTATTCATCTTACTTAGGCGGCATATTTTTCCTAGGTCAAAGAAAGTGTAAGAAACCACAATTAAATACACACCAATTCATCTTTGTTTTGCAAGTGAAGCAGACTGGAATTCTGAGAGGTACAGAAATCTCTGCTTTCTGCCCAAGTTTTTTTTTCATTAGAAATGAAGTAACAGTTGCATCGGTACCCAATCCACTTTTCTTGACAAGAACAGCAGTCAAAGCCTAAGAGAAAACATAAAAGATGAGTGATGACATTGGAGATCAATGTTTTTTTAATTAAATGTATAGAGATGACATTGGCTAGTAAAATTATGTAGCTTTCAAGAATACAATTCTATAAAACAACATCTATATATTGCATTGTGTGTTCACCTTCCATTACCATGTATTTGTCCCCCTTATTCTTTCCTTCTATCCCCTGCACTCTTACCCTCTGGAATGAAATCGTACCATTTGCAACGATATGGATGGACCTAGAGAACATTATGCTAAGTGAAATACGTCAGTCGGAGAAAGACAAATACAATATGATCTCACTTATATGTAGAATCTAAAAAACTGAATGAACGAGGAAAGTAAACAGAAGTGGTCTCAGAGACACTGAGGAAAAACTGATGATTGCTAGATGGGAGGGGGTGGGGATGAGGGAGGAGGGGAAGGGGAGGGATAACATAAATTGGTAACTTCAATATTGCCATAGGGATAGAAAAGACAGTTTGGGGAATATAATCAATAATGTTGTAAATATTTTTTAGGGGGACAAATAGTCACATGTCTTGTTAGGGGGACCACTTCATGGACAGTATAGAGGCCTGACCACTGCACTGTATATCTGAAGCTGCCATTGAATTATATTATATGTCAACTATAATTTTATATATATATATATATATATATATATATACACACACACACACACACACACACACACACACACATATAGCCACGGGATGTGGAGTGCAGTGTGGGGAGTGGAATCAGTGGAATTGTAATACATATGTATGCTATTGGGCTGGGGGGGCGGTGGATTGGGGGAGGGGTATTGTCACTTTGTGAGGGGTGAAAAGCATAACTATTGCATTGTTTTGTACACCTGAAACTAATAATGATAATAAAAACAACAACAAAGGAACAAGACAAACAAAGAAACAAAAACTCACAGACACAGACAACAGTCTAGTGATTACCAAAGGATAAAGGGCCGGGGCAACGTGGAGGAGGGGAAGATTGAAGAGGGTAAAGAGGGTCAAATATATGGTGATGATAGCAAATCTGACTTTGGGTGGTGAACACACAATGCAATATATAGATGATGTGTTATAGAATTGTACACTTGAAACCTAGATAATTTTATTAACTAAATTGACCCAAATAAATTTATATAAAAATTTAATTAATTAATTGCAGAAATTCCTGAACTATATTGTGAATTATGGAATAAATACAAGGAAAATTATAGACATATAAAAGTATGTGTTATGAGCAATCATGGGAGGGTAATTGGGATTAGCTAAAATATTTATGATAATTTATTTTTCATTTCTTACTTAAACATAACTACTTATATAGGAAAAATATGTCACTTCAGGCTATATTACCCTTATTAATTAAATAAATAAATGATGTACATCAATGTAGTTTAATGCTTATATTAGAAAACAAAAAAATGAGACTATACTACAATTAGTAGTTAAACTTGTATTACTATGTGTAATGGTCCATCAGGCTTTCATGTGGAAAAACAAAAAAACTGTCTATTTCATCCTTGATGAACATTATGGTTTTCTAATATATGGACCCTACCTTCCTGGGCTTCTGTGGTTCCTCCTGGTGATGATGTTGGCCGAATACTTTGTTTAAGAAATGCTATAGGGAATGATTAGAAATTACTTAATTATATACAGGCTTATGGGATAACAAACTATTGCACATTAATAAAATGAAACATTTGTTATGAAATGGTTTTGTTATAGCTTTGATTTTCATATAAACTGGCCTAGAAAAACTTACAGTTTTTCAACAATATTCCCAAAACAGCCATCAACACAAGGCACGTTACTGCTAAGATCCCAGAAATCAATCTCCATGGAGTGGTCTGAAGAGCTGTAGAGAAAGAGAGGTCGGCTGAAGACTTAAAGAGCAAACCCAGGAGCTGAAAGTGTAAAAGCAGACACCTGGAGGAGAGAATTTAAAAAGTTCTTTAGTTTGAAAACCGAATCATCTTTCTATGCAAGCTTGGAAAATTAAGACATTCCATTCAGAACTCCACCGAAAACCAAAATTATCATGAGATATACTTAATTTTATGACTTGGGCGACATACCTGCCATGAGAACTGTTGTTCCAGTGTCGATACCTGTAAGACACGATGTGAGCTTGTTCAAGAAGCACGTCGTTGGATCACAGACTAGAGCTGGAGGCCAGGACGCTGTGTATGTAGAAATTTAAAATAAAATTGTGTATTTAAGTGGCGTTCTTCAATCACCCATTGGTGAGACACGATGTATAATATGAACAAGAAGCAGTAAATTCACTGGCTTCTAAAATGTTCTGGAAACCACAACACAGGAAATTCTCAGTGTACATGTGTAACGTGAATTCTTTGACAATCAGAGAAGAAGGTGAGAGCAGTTTTTAATTTTTTTTTATTTTAATGTTTGAATATCTATCATCTTTTAAAAGTATGTGGAATATAAAATAAAAGCTAAGCAAATCTAAGGTAAATTTACTTAGTATAATAAAGTTCCACAAAGAATTTTCCTCTTTTAATAATGAGAAACATTACATTTTTTTCTTGTGCAAAACACAGATTACAGCACTTGTCATATATTTGCTCATTTATTTCTGAGAATGGCTTGATAATAAAGATACATAAATATACTCATTTTAATGATGAGAAAACTAAGGCAGACCTGCACACTTGACTAAAATCACTAACTTTGAAACCCAGGCAGTCTCTCTCCAGAGCACACACACCATGCATTGCAGATCATACCTGCTCCTCCGTGTGTTGCTGTGTTTTCTGATTTTCATTTCTTTTCTCCAGCAGAGTAGTTGGTATTTCCATCTCTCATTCTATAATTCTGCCTCATTAATCAGCTATGAAAGGCAAAGGTAAAAAAAGTAGAACCAGAGTGACTCCCCATTACTGTTCCATGAACACACAGAAACACACACACACACACACACACACACACACACACACACACCTGTGCTCTACACCTGCCTCAGCTGGTCTAGGCCCTTCAGTGACTCTGTACTCTCCAGGTGTTGTTCCCTGAAATCTTTGAACATGACTGCAGTTGCTCTATGTACTTATTTGTACTAATATTTTAAGTATTATATTACATACTGTGTTATCTCATTCAGATAATATACTGATAGTTGAATTTACAAGGTTTTGCCCTGAAATGAGATCCTTACCAGGGGGAATTAAAATGTGGGACAGATGGGCAGAATGAGAACCTTGAGAGTAGGGGCCTTACTCTATGATTAAGTATCTGGAAATACAATCTACCATTCATCTCACACAAAGCAGACTTCCTAAGTTTTTATTGTTTATAGTATATACATATATATGTTTAAGTAATACAATATCATCATAGATGAAACTTTTTGTAAAAGATGGGCTTTTCAACAAAAAAAAGAACAAAAAGAAAAAGAAAAAACAGGGACTGTGGTTTGATATCTCAGTTTTCCTAAAGTTAAAAGTTTCCACCCTTCTAATTTGCATTGTGTGAATAGAGGTGCTTTCTCTGAACCACCAAAATGGATAACATTTAAATCCTTGCCTGATAATGTAAACATGAAAGTTCTTCATCTATATTATATGAAAATCCACCTTGAGAGAGATAATGTATAACTGATCCTTTGCCCACTTGAAGTCTCTTCTTTAATAGTTTTAATGTTGGACAAAGCTGAAAAAGCAAAAGCTGCCTACTTTTGCTCATTTTTGCCCCATGTAACATTGCCTTAACTAAATAGAAGTCTAAGGTTTTGCTGTCAGCTTTAGTTTTAAAATGATAAAATTTTGTGACAGAATATATCATAGGAGTTGTTACTACACTTCCAGTATTAACAGAACCACCTTCATTTGGAAGTTACTGTAAGTTTTCAGAACCACATTTGATGAGACTTAAATCAACTGATGCCTTTTATTTTTTGTCTTTGTTCACTGACTCAAAAGTAAATTCCACCAAAGATGTGTTTGATTCAAAAACTCTAGTCTCAAGGCACAAAGAAGATAAATGAACACACAAATGTACACACTCACACATAAGAATATAAAACCCCTACCTTAAATTCTTTCTGAACTCCCAACAGTGGTTGATTGATTCCTTCTTGTGAATAGGCAGTTGAATTGTTTTTGTGCCAGTGTGACTGTCATTTATATCTACATGGAGAAATGCTTGTCGTTGCCCACCTTCCATTCCTCAGGATATTGGGTGAAGTCTACCCAATCACCATCTGCAACTTTGTATTTGCAGACCTTTTCTCCTACAGCCCCTGAAAGCCTTGCTGCTCTCACACATGGCAGTCCAGATGTGCTGAGCAGTTCTCACCTGGACGGACCACAACAGACAAGTATCAGGATACAGCAGAGTCCAGCAAGCTCATCCCTACCCCAAGGCAAGTCTGAACACTGGGGTTTCTCCCATTTCCCAGAATCAGACAACAGTGGGAAGCTACATCCTGAGGACGACCTTTATTGTGTTCTTCCTTCCCTTTCCTGTCTGAATACTCTCTTTCCAACCTTTATTCCATGCACAGCCAAAGAAACTTTGCACTCAAAACTGTCCTCAGACAAAAACTGCTGCAGAGAGAATCCAGAACAGTATTCCACTGAAATCTTCAGATTGACTTCTGTGCTTGTTTTTGAAAGTTAGGTGTCCTTCCAGAAGACACACCTCTCTTTGCAGGATCTCCTCTCCCCTAGCGGCCACTGCAGCAACCACACCTTTCCACCCCTGTAATTTAGGATTGTCCCTTGTTCAAAGCAAATGATGGGGCCGGCCCTAGTAGCTCAGTCAGTTGAATTAGCTTAAGAGTGTGAGCTCTGAGCAACAGGGCCACCGGTTTGATTCCCACATGGGCCAGTGACGCTGCGTCCGAGCTGAGCTGCTGCTGAGCTGCCAAAAGGTGGCAGGATGGCTCAGCTCATGAGAGCACGTGCTCCTAACAACAAGATTGCCTGTTCGATGGTGGGCTATGCCCGCCCACAAATAAGACTGAACTTGGCACCTTGAGCTGAGCTGCTACCCGGATAGCTCAATGGATAGAGCGTGCTCTCTTAACAACAAGGCTTCTGGGTTCGACTCCCGCATGGGATGGTGGCTATGCCCACCCTCAGCTAAGTTTGGACACAGCACCTTTAGCTTAGAGGCGACGAGCTGCCAACGGGCAGCCAGATAGCGACTGGTGCCCTCTACAACTAAGAATGAAGAACAACAACTTGGCTGGTCCCCTTCCCCAATTCCTCAACACTGTTCCCCTCTCCAAATTCCCCAATTAGAAAAAAAAAAAGAAAGCAAACGATGGCTCCAATAACTGTAAGACCACCCAACCCTGAACAAAGAGCTAGAAAAAAGAAACGAATGTCCACTTAAGATGTGAAGAGTGAGGTCTTTTCTCTACCTAGCAATTTCTAACTAAAATGTTGCATAACATAATAAGAGTATGCATGGCAATACAATACAAAGTCCCAAATGAGAAATTTATTTTGCTTTCACTGCTTGGAAAATGCCTCATTGTTTGAGTGGAAAGAAAATTGCTACCATCAGGCTGCAAATTATTCTCCTTTGAAGGAAGAGGGAATGTTTCCTGACAAAGAAAACAATGGAATTCTGACTTGGTAGAGTCTCCTGTAAACATGCTAATGACAGACTTATTGGAAACACTAGTAGGTCTGGCTGCTCAAAATCCTTACTTATGGAATGCTTTGGGCAGGATGTATTAGATTGCCTAACATTGTTTATGGTCAAAACAAAATAAAAGATAGGACTAGAATATAAGGATTTGTGGAGATAGACATCTTGGAAAATGTCACATAAACTATATAAAAATCTCAATAAAAATGAAGATGTGTCATGACCAAAGCACCTCCTATGTAATCACAACTGTCAGTTAAACACCTCATATGTTAATCTGTTAGTCTGGACCAGAATGTGTGTTAAAGACATAAATATCCCAGGTCCTTTTACCTCTTATATATGTGGGGACCCTTTGGGATGCAAGCTTTGAAAAAAGACATGGGTGAAATGGTGTTCCCCATTCTTAAGACTATGAAGAACTTCCTTGACCTGATGATGATAAGGAGGATAAACTAATGGTGTGATGGTGGAGGAGGGTAAGTAGATAAAAGAAGAGAGGACACAGTGGCCAGACTGAGTGCAACAGACAGGCAGGAAGCATCAACATCTTAAATCACTATGAGAAGTGAGTAAACATCTGAAGACAACTCTATTCTCTTACCATTTTCAGGAGATAGTTTCCTTTTGAAGGGATAGCATCCATCAAATTTAATACCATCAGACACCTAGTTTCTTGCACATCTAATAATCTTTGTAAGTCCTCAGCAAAATAAAAACATAATAATAACAACAATAAATTAATTAAACACCATGATGCAACTCTAATAGGTAGGATAGAGGATTTCTGAACCTTGGTTTGGTCAGACAAATGAACTCCAAGACTCCAAGATTCATCCTTTGCCAGAAATTAATAAAACACCTCTTTATACTTTTACAGAAAAACCTGACAAAAGTATAAAAAAAAAACCAGAATGAAAAGGAGTTACACTTTAGAGCAAGACCAAGTGAGAACAAGTAGGAAAAAAAATTGTTCATTTTCATAAGTCCTTCTGTATTTTGGTTTTTTAAAATATATACATGCTTTGTCAAGACAAAAAAAAATAGACAATTGAGAGAAAGACTCCGAAAAGCATATGGTTTGGCTTTTATAAGTCACATTGTCTTTATACTTTAAAAAATAAATGAAGGGGTTTCTTTGTTCTGTGTTGGCCCATTGTGTGGTAACATGGTGAAATCTAGTCCTACGTGCCGCAGTTGTGTTTTCAGTACTTGAAATATACAAGTAGATGCAAAATAAGAATATCGGTTCATGTTTCTGAAGATGTCTGTGTAACATTATTATGCAAGTGAGTTTTACAAAACATGACACATGATCTTTAGGAAAAGTGTTTTCTGGATTAATCAGAAAAAAAAAAAAAAGAACAAGTGAGAAAGCACAAGGAAAAACACCCAAGAGAAAAAGTAGACAGCGCTGAACAAAAGTGAGCTGGACATAGACTGTATTTCTCTTGGGAAAATGTGGAAGCAATCACTGTGTGAACCCTGATTTCGAAGCAAGAGTCTCAAAGTAAGTTTAATGAAA